TATGAGCTTTGGATTTTGATGAGGATCCATATTTTGGTAGAGGAAAAGATGATTGTGATGGCACTGGTGATCCACATGTCAACCTTGTATGACCACTTTCCTTGCACCGACTACATGTCGATCTCTTCTTCTCTTCACCCTTAGACGGTATACGATCGTGACTTTTTGGTCGGCCAGGTAGCCTTCTGTCCATGGCTGGTGGCAAAACTGTTTGTAAGTCATCTGGTATGTCCCACTCAGAAGGATGTGGAAGACAATCTCGGCATAAGTCTGTCGATAAACTTCTGTAGTGTAGCAATCCATAGCGTATGCGCTTGAATCATCTTGGTTTAAATGAAGAGCAACTTTTATAACATGGCCACACGGATAACCAGATGTTTGCCATTTCATACAACTACACGTCTTTGCATTTAGATCGACTAGCCCATTTAAGTTATTATCCAGTACTTGAAACAAAGTGTTTGAACATGGTTCAACTCTCCATGACGTTGACTTCACAACACGTTTCGTTATCTTTTTTTCAGTCCATGGTGTAACACGATGTTCCAATGTTCCTGTAAATTTAAATAAACAATACTTAGTAAAATATATAAATATGATAAGTTACGAATTCAAATAAATAATACCTGCATGGTTTCTTTTCTTGTAGTACCACTGTTGAATAGAGGCTCGAAAAAACTCCATTAACATAGTAATGGGTAATTTCCGGGAATGACGACTTAGAGCGTTGATTGATTCTGCACTATTAGACGTCATGAAACCATATCTTGCTCCAAGTTGATGTACCCTTGACCATCTTTCAAACCCGACATCTTCTAGTGTTTGAGCACACTGAGGAAAAACACGTCTTAAACAATTTATATGCTTATTGAAATCCACTTCCCGATAAGCTTTTACAGCCTTCCAGTATGTCCATTTGTGCTTTTTTATACCAGCAGACCTTGATTTTAGATTTCTATACAAATGAACACCACAAAGTCCATGAAAAGCATCTGGGAAACACCTTCTAACATCGTTGTCAATTGAGTTTGCCCTATCAGATATGATTGTCAGATTGCTAATAGGACCTATGCAATCCCTAAGATGCCCCATAAACCATGTCCATGAATCAGAGGTTTCAGATTTGCCAACCCCGTAAGCTATTGGCAATATCCCATTGTTAGCATCCATGGCTACTGCTAATAAGTTTACTCCAAGGTATCGACCTTTCAAATGTGCTCCGTCAACTATAATAACTGGGCGCATGCAAGTAATAAACGAACGAATCTACAAAATAATATACACAAAAAATATAATCATTTAAATGTGAAATGCATGTAACTAACAAAAATGAGTCAACAAAATTATATTGATTTACTAACCGTAGCACCAATGGCGATAAACAGCAACTCAAAGTGTCCATCTCTATCTGTTTTGATATGAGTTACCGACCCAGGATTTTTCAGCTTTAAATTGTGACAATAAGCCGGCAGTTGGGCAAACGATGCTTCTAGCGACCCCCTCAACAATTCCAAGGCATAACATTTGGCTCTCCAAGCTTGAGAATATGATATACTAATCTTGAACCGAGCATTCATGTCAGTCATAATTTCATGTCCCCGATATACCCTGCCATTCAAAAACATTAACTCAGCCAGAAAACCACCCAACACCTTTTTGTTTGCCTGTCTATGGTGAGGAAAAACTTGGGTTCTTGAACATGTATGTTTATCAATAAAAGTCCTAACTTGAAACATTTCACAATCTTTTATTCTCTTTGCAATCATACGCCACGTACAGTTTTTGTCAATCATACACCTTGTTTCGAAACGATCTTTGCTTGATTTGTTAACTTTTAGTTGATAGCCATCTTCCACACATTTCGTATACAAAGCTATCTTCAAGTCTTCCTTTGTATTAAAACAATCATCTTTCTTGATACGAATAACTTTTGTGTAACAATCAACTGCTTTCTTTACCAACTCTTCTTCCGGTATCTGAAGTAATTCTGGCATATTCCAGTTATACGCCCGTGGCATTTTCTTTTCTTCGGGGACTTTTTCTTCTTCTTTTTCTTCTTCAGGATTATATGAATTACAGAATGGATGTTCAACATGTTCATTCACAGTCGTAACTTCCTCCTCATTATCATCAACAATACCTTCTTCGGCAACGGCTGTTTCATCATCAAAATTCGGGTATTGACCAATATCAAAATCATTACACGCAGGGTCTGTTTCTTCTTCTGAAACATCATCAAAATCCGTGTATTGACCAATATCAAAGTCCGGATATTGACCAAGACCAAATTTCGAATACTGACTAGTACTCACAATTTTTTCTGTTGGCTCATCATCGTCTAACTGGTCAATACGAAAACCGGAATTTGGTGCTGAAAGTTGATTGGGATTTTGAGAAAAACTTAGTTGATTACTACCCGCTACTGACCCAACAATACTACTTCTTGGTTCAACAACATACAATGTAACATCATCTTGTGAAACACTAATGTAAGCAATGAATCGTTCAACATCTTCATTGTCGGTTAACAAATAAACTTTACCATTTCTCTGATAAGATAGCCTAAATCCACTTAGGGACTCTAAATTCAATTTCTTTGAAACACGTAGCATTAGAGTTTCATAAGTTAACTTTTGTAAAGACAATTTTAGTTGAAGATTCATGGGTAAAGGCATATATTGTAAAACACCATGAACATTATCCCATGATCCTCTAAAACACAAATCTATCCAAACATGATCAACATTAGATGATTTCATGGTTGTAAATTAATTTACTAAACAGACGAGCTGCGAAACTAAAACCTGTTGCCGGATTGGGAAGGATGTCGTTGGATATAGGAACGGATGTCGCCGGAGAGAGTGATAGATGGAGATGGAATGAGTTGCGATTTAGGGATTTAGTTTATGATTTGCTGCTGTTGCGTAGTTATATACCCAAAATTTCAGTGTTGTGATTTACAGATTCTCGTTGCGATTTACGGATTATCGTTGCGATTTACAGATTCTCGTTGCGATTTACGGATTATCGTTGCGATTTACGGATACGCATTGCGATTTACGGATACGCGTTGCTATTTACGGATACACGTTGCGGTTTACGGATACGCGTTGCGATTTATGTGTTCGCGTTGCGATTTTCATATTCGCGTTGCGATTCTGGAAAATCGCAATGCGAATTTGTACTATCGCATTGCGATTTTCAAGAATCGCGTTGCGATTTTGGAAACTGATTTGCGATTCTGGGGATCGCGTTGCGATTTTTATTTCGCGTTGCGATTTTGTTGGTCATTTTGGCAAATCCAAAAAAAGTTTGTTAAAATCGTATATTATAAGGCATTTTTGGTCACTGAGGCGATTTTCTCTTTATATATTAGAGTCATAACTTTATTTTGAAATGTTGGATTGTATTATTTTGACATACTTATTTTGGAAACTCCCGATGTACATTTTATTATATACATTATGGTTGAAATTATCTTATTCAAAATGGTTTTATATATGCTTATTAAATGAGAAATTAAAGAAAAGCGACTATGTGTCGTATTAGTTTAGTTTAAGGTGTTACCTATGTACCATGGACTATTCGTTTAAAACAAAATGTTTGACATATATTTCAGTGCTAGGTCTCAGAATATATAAGAAAAATCCGCGACAACTGATTTGGGAAATTGATAAACAAGGGTCTTAAAACAATTCACGAAAGGAACGTTAGAAATAATTCCCCGGTGGTAAAATATATTATATTTTTATAATTAATTAAAAATCCTTTAATTGAGAATCTATATAATTTAAATATCTGAATAAGTAGCACGACTTAAATGTAGATGAATTGACCTCCCAAGCATTTGAACTTCCCCTATGAAAGATGATGTCTACAAGGCATGACTTCAAGTTCAAGCCCAGTGTGCAACCATTGATTATTCTAATCATCCCCTTTTTGGGAAATGAATATTCTAATAATCATGAACAATAATATTTGGATCTATTCTCATTGCGTTTGAACTCGTAAAGTGACATTAATGGTTAAAGGAAATATTATTATCTCTTTAGATTTTAAATTCAAATTATAATGTCTATAAGATCTATACGTTGTCAATGATTTAAAAAATCTAACCATATAATTATGCTTTTAAAAAATAATGAAACCAAACAAATATTAATTGGTAAACTGAATTAATAATAAAAGTCTTTAATTAAATTGTTTGATTTGATCATTTTTTTAATTAATTAAATTTCTTAACATTTTTAAAATTTTAATTAAAATTAACAATTCATACATCATTGAATTAAAAACGAACGTGCATGGTGTGCATTGTAATGGAGAAATCAAATTGAAACTAATACTTGGTTAAAAAGGCAATTCAAAGAATATTTACAAAGCGGAAGCTACAAATTTCTCTGCGGAAGTTATAAAATTGCAAAGCGGTTTTTAAAATCTTTGTTCATGGCTCTGACCACAATTATATCATTTTTAGTTTTAATTTATCGTATTTATAATGATAATTTCTTTTATCTTTTTTTTATAAATAGTATCATGATTATTGGTATTTTTGGATTTTTGGTGTAAATTTTTTATTGGTCTTTTTCTCGATCTTTTATTTTCCCTACATACATGGTTGATTGCTTTTTCGATGTCTGAATCCTTCGTTCGTTTTTACAAGACGGTTCATCAGTTATCGCATATATATGCTAGATGAGACTCTTATTAAGAGGAGATTGTTTTTTCCGTTGGTTATTTTGGTTATTCTTCAATTTCTCTCCTTCATGTCTAATGCCCAAAAGTATTAGTGTTTTAATTTATGTAGTTAATTATTTCATTTGTTAATGATTTTGTTTATCAAATTATCTCTAAACAATCATTGTTATATTTTATTTTTGATAATTATAACCGTATTTATTCAGTCATCACACGTTTGTTGATAATGAAATATCCTAATTATTAAGAAAAAAAGCATATTTAGTCCAAAAATATCCAAGGAAGTTCACAAAAATCTGGGAGCAGAATCTTGCATTTATTCATATACTCCACTCATTCATATCACTCTCCTTTCTTCATATCACTCTCCTTTCTTCCATGGATACCAAGTGCATGACTTCATCTTCTTCACCGAGGCCCAAAGCTCCAATAAAAAACGCCCCAATAATTTTCAAGTCTGCAATTCTTCTCCAAAGAAAAGACACAGCTTGCATCAATGTCGATATGTATGTATGACTTTCCCCTTCTGATTGTCACTTACCATTTCATTTAGATTTTCCTCTATACATGGACACCAGTTTCCCGTTTCCTCATCCATGTTTTTTGAGGGGTTGGTCTTGGCAGCAAGAAGCATCCTTGTGTTCGTCTATGGCTGCAAAAGAAGAAAACCCCATGGATGAACCACAAAATCCATGTCACAAAAGGAGAAAGTGTTATAAAAGTGGAAGACAAGGCTGTCGATGGAGCTGGAAAAAGAGGAACCATCGCAGGGGCGGTTGCTCTTATTATTGGCACCAGTATTGGTTCCGGGATTCTTGCTCTCCCTCAAAAGGCCTCTCCTGCTGTAAATTGCTTTCATTTTTCTCCTTTTGTGAGTAACTTCTTAGATAGAAACTGTATTTAGAAGTCTCCTTTTACACTGCAGGGCCTGGTTCCAAGTTCAATATCCTTGGTAGTTTGCTGGGCATTTTTGCTAATTGAAGCACTTTTGCTCATTGAAGTAAATGTTGTTTTAAGGAGGAAAACGAAGGAGGAGGAGGATGAAGAAGAGGGTGAATTGGATGTGATTTCCATAAGGACAATGGCACAACAGACACTTGGAGATTGGGGTGGAAATTTGGCCACTATTACCTATGTTTTCTTGGGTTACATTTCGATGATTGCTTATAGTTCTAAATCTGGGGACATCCTTTTCCATTTGATCAATCTTTCTGAACCAGTTTCTGGCTTCCTGTTCACTGCAATTTTCACCATTCTCATCTCTGTTGGTGGGACTCAAACCACTGATCTCGTTAACCAATGGCTCACTATTTCCATGATAGGTATGATTTTGGACCAATTGTTAGACTGTTGGGTTACTTGACATCTATTTATAGATATCATGTACGAGGATATGATCTTCTAAGGACCTTCTAAATACAACTGAAAATATTCGTATATGACACTCATACCCGAGTTTTGAATAACATTTATAATTTTATCTTTGCTGATGTGAACAGGCTTATTAATGACAATTGAAGGGTTAGCAGTGGTATTTGGAGGATGGTCAGGCCTGGAGGGAAATGGTGATTGGGGGAAAGTTCCGGCTACCATTCCTGTTATGATATTTTCTTTGGTTTATCATGACATTGCACCAGGTCATAAAGAAAAAATCTCGATTGTTTTAAGTTGAAGCTTCAGATTTTCCAAGCACGGGGTTACAATGTCTCTTGGTTTATTATTTCATTACTTGTTGCAGTTCTTTGTGCTTATTTAGGCAGTGACCTTACTCGATTAAGGGCTTCGGTTTTGCTTGGAAGCGCCGTTCCGTTGTTGGCATTGTTTGTTTGGGATGCTATTGCACTTGGCCTCCCAACACAACCTGATCAAATTGTTGATCCTGTTGAGCTGCTTACGAGGTATGTCAAACACAGATTCCTTTAGGATTGTTGTGGATGATTCATATAGTCAGATGAATTTGCTGATTTGGCAGGTGAATTTACTTCTTTTTCAGGGTAAAATGGAGTGGAGTTTCATTTATGGTAGAAGCATTTTCACTTCTAGCCGTGGGAACATCAATGATCGGCACCCTCCTCGGCTTCTCGGAGTTCTTTAAGGAGCAGCTTAAGGACCTGTCATGGAATTCTTCTTCGGCACAGGTTGCTCTGATTTATGTTGCTACGATTCTCCTTATGTCGAAAGTATCGGGTATAAAACACCCGTATCCGATGCATTTCTGGACATGAATACGAGAATATGATCCTCCAAATACATGAAGAGATACCTGAGTTTGGTACTTAACCCTGTGCCAACACTCACTCTTTTAAATCTATGCAGATAACGCCACTGGCAGGGGATGAGATACAGCAGGAACCAGACAAACCCTCAGCACAGACAAATTGGTGGGGGAGAAACAAAACCAGGCTCACAGCAATGGCAATGGTGGTCGCTCCAACACTTTTAGTCTCAACAACAGTTCCAGATGCCTTCTCTGCTGCTACAGATATTGCTGTAAGTTCAAACTGAAGCCATATATGAATTCAATAACAGTATTAGGATGTAGAACTTCAAGCACTAAGTTCTACGAAAAATCCATGTAATAGAAAACCCAAGGTTAGCTTCATTATCTGTTTCTGGGACATCGATGCAGGGGGGTTACTGTATGACGATGCTGTATGGAGTTCTTCCACCGGCAATGGCTTGGGCCATGGAAACCAGAGAAGGTGACGGCTCTAATGAGAAGGCGTTAACAATGCCTAAGCCTGCAATTCTGGGAGTTGGGTTATTTGCCTGTGGTTTAATTGTGGAGCAAATTCTACATGATTTCTTGGCATTGCAGTTATCTCAATGATTGGATTAATTTGTAAATTGTAAAAATAATAATATCTAATAGAACTAATTCCCTATTGATCACTTTCCATCATACCGGTCTCTCCTTTAGTATCTACCTGCATTTCCTTTCAATCATATGAACTCATTTCAAGTTCCATCTATTTGAACAAAGTGGAAGAAATATTGCTACATGGACAAACAAATTTCAATCATTTACATAAAGGTGTCAATGAATCCATTAAACCATAGAGAGCTGAGCTCAAGTCCAGAAAATACTGAAGAGAAACAATTTCTTTGGGAGCACACAATGAACATTATTTCAGAACAGGAAGATGATCAGCCAGAACATGGCACAACTAAAATAACAAAAAACGATAAATAATGACATTAAATTGTTCCCAAGCATGACCTCTGAGTTTCGACATAATCATACAGGAACTGATTGAAGGTTGTAGACGACTAAACCGTCATTCTTCATGGAGAATCCCTAGTTTCTCACAGTTGTCATATTTTTCAAAAGCATCCGTACAACATCATGAGATATCCTTGCAGCTTCATTCTTCAAGTGATTGATCTTTGCATCTGTTTCGATCTCCAGCCGTTTCACATTTTCCCCCGAGTCTCCGCTGCTCTGTATGACAGTCCACAAACATGGATAAGAATCAGAATTTTAATTAACACACATAAATCCAGAAGATTTACAGAAATTATTTAACTAAGATAAATTAGGCAACAGATATATTCAGTAAAAAGATCAGTTGCTCATATATAGATTTTCAGCACATTGCTGTGTCATTGAAACAGACTAAATGATAAAATTTACGAATTCACACCTCAGCTACCTTCTTCTGAAACTCATACTCTACTTGAGCATGATATTCAGCAATCTCTTTCTCTGCCTCTTCTTTGGCCTGTCTTAGTCCAGCCATTTTTGCTGAAGGAAAAAACAGAAGTGAGCTGACATTGAATCCTCCCCACCCAAAAAAAAAACGCAATGACTACTACTATTGGAACAGCAACCATGATTGTCAAATCAACTTCTCGTCTATGTTTAGTTCACATCTAAGCATTCACCAAATGGACGTAGCCTAATAAGCAAACAAAAATTATCACGTAGCTTGCACAAAGTCACGCATGCTTGCACGTGTTTATATGATTCAAGTCTCTTTATCAGGTGAGATCAAGCGTGCAAAATGTGTTCTATAAATCCCTAATGTACCCTATAAACAAATAAATGGAATCAACATAGAAACTGACATCTTATCATTCTTAAACAGATTGCATCTGTTGGGGAAATCGGGTTATTTCCCACACGAACGTAGTTTTAAAATTGACCTAAAATGTCAATATCAAAACCACCAAAGGTTGTACAGAGGATAAACCTGTCAAACTATTGAATATTGAAACACAATGGAAAAAACCGAATAAAAACAATAAAGGAGAGAACACACCAAATTTACGAGGTTCGACGAGAATATCGTCTACTCCTCGGGCACCACACCGGATGATAACTTCACTATCAACAAATATTACAACAAATGGAAATCTTTAGAATTCACAAAGTGGGAGAATGAAGAATACAAGAGAAAGAGAGAACTTGTTTTTGGGATGATTTCTAATGAAATACTTAGGTCTATTTATAGTTTTGAGTTTTAAGAACTAAACTTATAAATAACCTAATATTTTAGGGATGAAAAATAAGTTGGGCACCTACCAAAGAATTTTCCAATGTGTATAAGTTAGCCACCAAATATGAAATTCCCACGTTCAAAGTTTGGCCACCAACCAAGATGAAATTTCTAATAAGTTGGCCACCAACCAAGATGAAATTTCCAACTTGCCAACTTAATTTCAAGCCAAATCTAACAAATCTCCACCTTGGTTTGAAATTACCAAGCCTACTCAACTTTTTCAACTCCTCAAATTTGTAGTGCCTCTAATTGAGCTCACAAGCACCACACACCCGAAGGTGTTCATACTTTCAGAATGTTAATCGAGTTCAAACAATGATTGAACTTTATTACTATTACCACCTTGGTCATCATATCTGCAGGATTTTCTGATGTCGCAATTTTCTGAAGTAGAATATTTCATTCTTCAAAGACCTCCCGCACAAAGTGATACCTCACGTCGATATGCTTAGTCCTTGAATGGTAGACTTGATTTTTCGCTAAGTGAATAGCGCTCTGACTGTCACAATAGAGACTAATGTGACTTTGAACAACTCTCAAGTCTTCCATCAACCCGTTAAGTCAAATTGCTTCCTTTACAGCCTTTGAAACTGCCATGTATTCTGCCTCTGTAGTAGACAAGGCCACCGTAGATTGCAATGTAGACTTCCAACTTACTGAGGCTTTAGCAAGAGTAAACATATACCTAGTAGTTGATCGACGCTTATCCAAATCACCAGCATAATCGGAATCAACATATCCAACCACACACTGACCAAGTGTTTCATCCTGTTCAAAAACTAAACCAACATCCACGGTTTGTTGGAGATATCGTAGAATCTATTTCACAGCTTGCCAATGTCCTTCTCCAGGATCATGCATGTACCTGCTCACAACTCCAACTGCTTGTGAAATGTCAGGACACGTACACACCATTGCATACATCAAGCTCCCAACTGCATTAGCATATGAAACTTTTGCCATAGACTCTCGTTCTTCGTTAGTTTTAGGAGATAATTGAGAACTAAGTTTCAAATGAGAAGCTGAATGCGGTCATTCAAAACGTTAGGCGATAGTAACGAATCACGGCATGTAGAAACAAGAGAAGATGCATATATACAAAGGAAACATGAAATGAAAGAGCACACATATATAAACCGGTTATAAAGAGAGCTAGGAAAGCCGGCCATGGCATCCATCGATGAGAAACATGATTTGAGTAGCGAAATTCGAAAGCAATTCCAGAAACCATAAGGACATGGGCCAGTAAAAATGTGAAATAAAGATCATCACTAAAAGTTGATATGCTTCAGTGGAAGCAAAACTTCACAGTATCTTTCGGGTTTCTTGAGTTTGGTGGCAGGTAAAGCCGCGTTACTGATTTTGAAAAGTTATAACTGAACATATAGAAACAAGTTTTTGCTGATACCTTTGATTCTTGCCGAAGCTAACTAAACAGTAGCACAAAGGAAAAGAGATGGAAACTTGAAAAGTTACAATTTTTCAAAGTTCAAGACCGACGGTGTATCGGCTCATGATAAACGTTAATATCGGTCCCTCTTTAACTTCTTATTGTCAAACCACATGATAAACATACTCAGTCAAGGATTCATATATGAAACTAAGTGTGGTATAAATTTCAAGGATTCATTTTATCAACAATTCAAGGTTAAGAGTGTACCAAACATAACTCATTTTTCGCAGGCTCGGAATACCAAGCAATATGATTATACCACACTTAATTCCGAACGCAAAGATTATTAGCAGTATCATCATCAAGAGATAAGGCTGAAGCAATATGATCCATCACTCTATTTGAATGACTGGTCAATTTAATTTAAGTAATATGTCAAGAAAAGAGGGTAAATTAACTTGCTGTAAGGCTTCCAGTTCAAGACAGAAACATAAAGAGATTTGTTAACAACTAATCAAGACAATATGTACTGAATTTCTAAGTTGGAATTATTAAAATGCTATGGATTCAAAGATTCCATTTCCATATAACCCAAGCATTAACTAAACCTCGCAAATCAACAAGAAAGATGGCAGACCACGAACTACAAGAAGACACCAAAATCGAGTAAACTCAAAAACACAGGTCTAGAAGCACCATAATCCAAAATAAAATCAAACCCCCATACTAAAATAGCTAAACTTTCAACCAAAGTTTCCTGGGGGAAAAGTCAAAGGGGGAGAAATTGAGAGTTACCTCCACAGCAGAAGCAGCAGTAACAGCAAGAAAGGACCATGAAAATCTCTCTACAGATCGCAGTAAAACTAGCACAGCATTCAGAAGAAGCAGAGTTGGACTCGACAGGTTCTTGGTCATTTAAGAGATTTTGCTGGTTGTTTGGAGTCTTTGGGGAAGAAGAAGATTGTTTCTCTAATTTCATTCGATGGAGGTTCCATTCAAGTTTCCTTAAATAAGCAATTTTGAATGAATCTCTTAGTCTTACTGATGGCCATAGATGCATCTCTCTGTCTCTCGCTCGCCCGCGCAGTTCTTCCTAAACTTTTCTGCCAATGAAGAAGAAAATGGCAAAACGGCAAATAGCGAATTGACCATCACGTTATAAGGACTTTTCCCAACCTTCTCCCTTTTTTGGATTAATAGAGTATAAATTATATTTTAAATTAATTTTGAGTGTTAAATAATTTTTTTTTTTGTTAAGAATAGATTTTTAATATTTTTAACGTTATCTTTTTATGTATTTAAAATGTAATAGCCTTTAAATTTGACCATTATTTGATACAATTTACACATATAAAATTTTAAAAAAGAATTTTTAAAAATATTAATATTATAATTTAAAAACCAAAAATAATTTAAGCATTTATTTTTATATTAAGACTTTTTTTAAAATCAAGAAACTAGGGGCTTTTTTTCTTTTTAAGTTTGAACCTTCTTTACTCATTTTTTTTAATATATGATCCTTGAAAAAATTTGGGACTAAACGAGGATATAAAGTTATTTTTAGATAAACTATATATTTATAACTAAATTATTATTTTTGTTCTATTTTAATATTTAAATTCTTTTTCATAATTATATTTATGTTTAGTTAATGTTTCATTTTAGCACCCCAATCGTTAAAAACTTATCGACGATGTTGAGGTGTCACCATAATATAATGTTACATCATCATTGAAAAAAATCATCATATCATCAGTTCTGTTAATTTTTCAAATGGCAATGTATCGAATTAAAACCTAAATTAAATGTTTAGGTATGATTTTGAAAAAATAAACTTTAGATACCAAAATAGAATAAAAGTTATAGTTTAGGTACTAAACTTGTAGTTTATCCTTATTTTTATTACGGCCAAAATGTATAATTATTTTTTTTCATCGATCTTTCAATTTTAACCAAGTTAATGATCGTTAACATTTAACTGAAGTGTTGACATGATAATTAAAAAATTATTCCTCAATAATTACATATTCTATCAATTTGTTGCTTTAAATAATACATGTACCACCATATTATTGGAAACAAAAATAAAGTACAAAGAAATGTGTTGTTTTTGTCTGGGATTTATTTTATTTATTTATTATTATTATTTAATATTATTATTATTATTATTATTTTTATTTTGCAGGGCCATGTTCAACCCTATTTCCAATAAACTCTCCACCATTCCACTACCCCCACACCGTCCATAACCTCAACTACCAACAACACCACTTCCTCTTGGCATTAAACAGATTCAAATATCTCCTTCTTCTCCTTTAAATTCTTCTTGGATTCGTGATTCAAAGGGGGAAACCTAAGTGAGATCCCCACTGCAAGTGGGGTCTATATGCCAGCACGTTGGAACAACATTTTCCCATTATTATTCTTTTGACTTCCAAACAGGATTTCGGGCTCTCTCTCTCTCTTTTTTAATTCCAAAAAATCTTGGTCCCCATGGAGTTTTGCCTGGAGAATGACACCAATATTCTAATGCCAAAAGCAAAACGAACTTCATGAACAAGGAGGAGATATAACCTTGGGCGGATGAGCTATGAAACCATGATATCTGAAGCACCTCACACCCTATGTCATTGAAGCCGTTCGTGCTGCAACCACAGATTCATAACAATCATGGAATCGTTAACACTCCTCGGCTTGATATGGCACGTCCAGTTACCTGCAATAAAGAATCATACGGAATTAGTGTTGGCAACAAATCACCCACAACATGAACATCGACTACTGTTACGGAGTTTTAACTAGAAGTTCACATATGGTCGAGGTCAATGGAAGCGGTAGAAACGAGAGCGAAGATCGAAGCACCGGTTGGAAGATAAGGACGTGGTTCTAGAGGAAGATGAAGAGGAAGAGAACGAAAACGATGGCCTTGAGAACTTCGGGGACTATGCCGACGTAGTGACTACGGATCGATATTTGGCGGGTTCCGGCGAGAGTGAGGTCCTGGCCGACGGAGAGTTCGCATCTCGGAGTTCCCCTCCGTGGTGAAGAGAACGGTGAACCGTCCTCACTGTTCCGTGATGGATATCGTGGCGTCTGAATGGTCGTGTTGATTGTCTCGGCTCTGGCTAGCCTATGCTGCGTAGTCCCGAATCCAACGAGGAAGAAAATGAAAAAGAAGAAGAAGAAGGAGATAAAGCATGAGACAACACGATGAAACACACCCAAAGAGGAGCCCACGTTTGACATATCTGGCAAATGAATTTAAAGACATTTATTTTGGCTTTTTGCGTGAGATTAAAAACCCATGCTTTTGAACATTGGGTAAATTCACTATATGGTCCTTCATTTATTATGTTTTTTTTCATTCATTTTATTATTTTTAATATTTTATTTTATTTTTTTCTTTTGCTTATTTAATATTTTTTAGCTAACATTTTTTATTTTTTAGAATAATTTTTTTTATCAAATGTAAGTATTTGAATTGAAATTGTAAATTTTAATTTTAATTTTTTTCGCAACAAAGCAACCGACAAATTAATTAGTACCGAAATGGCAGGGTGCTAATTATTCTTTGACCGTAATCGACTCCCGAACCCGACACATTTCTGGTAAAACGCAGATCATGTAAGATGTTGTCCGACCTACCTAAATTCATTTTAAAATGGTTGGTGGCGACTTCTAACCCAATTCATTCACGGCATTGAGGGTGTGTGATTTGGACCTAAGCCCCAGGGAGAAGAATATACACTTTAACTATTGAACCAACCCCAACAATTAGATTATGTCTTACACAACCAAATATATATTTCTCAAAGTTTATACCGCATCATCAATTGTTTCATCCTCTATTTGAAAAATCTCCTTTTTTTTATCTCTCAAAGTTTTTAACTGGAGAAAATGCTGAGAGAATTTTTATCTGAAACTTTTAAATTACATACATTTCTTGTGATATTTGTACTGCATAAAAACCTTTTATTTATAGATGATTGAAAAAGTAAGAGAATGCAAAAAAGAAGGGCTTAAGTATCTAATAAAATTCAGATCTAGAGCAAAAATATGGGTTGATGAATCCAAAAGGAAAAAAAAGTATAAATGAGAATGAAAATGTCGATAGGAATCATCAAATAAGAAAAAAAATTAAAATTAAATAATATTGAATTGTGTGTAATTATGTCCGATCAATAAAAAAAACTCAAATAAAAATGTAAACCAAAATTTAGAGGATTCCAGTGAGAATTCTGGGAGAAATAATGGTGGAGATAAACTTTTAAAAGTTTTGCAGGCCAATATTTTATTCCCGTTTTATTTTCTTTATCCCTTCGATCGGCGGTAATTAAAAGGTTTTTCTGTTATATAAACATCACAAGAAATATTTTTGGTTTATATGTTTTCTCAGCATTTTCTTTAGTTTAAAACTATTAGAGATGATGAAGAAGAAAAATTTTCAAATATGAGGTGGAAGCAATTGATGACGTGGCATAAAATAATTGGATAGGACCACAGTGAGGTGCTGAAAAGGGTTTAGATAATTATTTTTCCTTTCAAACATATATTACATTATTGTTTTATTTAGCATGTGTGGGTAAAGTACACAAGTGGTCCCTCGACTATAGAGGATTATTTTATTGAGTTCTCCGTCTATTTAAAGTTACAAATTAGCTCCTTGATTATAGGACATTGCTTTTTTAAATCACCGACCATTAGAAATTACAAAATGATCATTCGATTATTCATTGTGTTCCAAACTCGTCCTTTTTCATTAAAAATATTTATTGTAGTTTGAGGTAAACGTTAACCTACTGATTGAGATATGATAGTTGTTTAAGATTTTGGGATCATATTATTGAGATATGATAGTTGTTTAAGATTTTGGGATCATATTATATCATATCTTAGCATATTAACATCCAACTTAAATTGTCATCAAATTTTTAACGAAAAATGACGAGTTTGGAACACAATAAATAGTCGGATGACCATTTTGTAACTTTTAATAATCGGGGACTTAAAAAATATCTTATAGTCAGAAAATCATTCTACAACTTTTAATAGTCGAATGACTCAATAAAATGTCACCCTATACTCGATGACTATTTATGTACTATACCTAATATGTATTTACGGAACAAAATATGTAGCTCATTTTAATATTTTTAATAGATTATCGGTTACTTGTAGAACACATAAATACCTAATATGTTTTTACGTAACAAAACCTGTAGTTCCTTTTGATTTTTTTTAATAGATTATCGGTTACTTGTTGAATGGATTATACCTCTCCCTTTCCCTCTCCCTAAATGCTCTAAAAAGAACACTAACAGTCGGTCTTTAGAGGGTTATTTAATGTAGAACAAATATTAAATATAATTTAGTAACTGATAAAATCTATTAAACTCTTAACTCTTTGATATCGTGTTAATAAATTAATACTACAAAACTAAATACGAAGTTGATGTCACAAAAAATAATTCAAATTTTATTAATTATAAAATACATATATTCTAATTTATTATTAATTCAATAGATTTTTTATCGAATTATCATCAGTCTGACACTAACATATTTACTAAATTAATCTGATTCTTATATACCTACCGAATTGAACTGATCCCTAAAATCAGTTCAGTCGATTAGTCAATCTCAATTCTTATTTGCATTAGAATCTGCAGTAAACTTGCACAATTCACAAGCTTAGCTATACATTAACATCTGAAAGTAGGATCTGCAGTAAAACATCATATATATATATATATCCAGCAAACGATGTATTAAATATACAGACTAAGAAGATGGATTATAAACTTTTACATTCTCAAACTTCTTGATCTGTGAACTGTTTGTTCTCCCATTGTAAACTAAAAGGAAAAAACGAAGTGTGCATTCGAAACGATGGAAGATCAAATTACCTTTTTCATGGAAATGCATATCCGAATTGCAAGAGGTGAAATGTTGGGGAATCGAGATGGAGGAAAAGGAAGCCGTGATCAGTCGTCGTCTCCAACGAGCTCGGAGAAGGAAGGGGATGGAAGGAAGCAGTGGTGAGAAGGGATGAGAGAGCTTCGAGGAAGAAGAAGAGGACGGTAGTGATGGGTACCATTTTTATCGATTTCTCCGATTAGTAAAATTGTT